TTCTTCCACATCTGTCCTCAGCACTGGGAGCAAGAACTGAGTGAGTGGCTGCATAGCACTTAGCTGTCAGCTGGGGTTAATCTAAGGCAACAAAGTGCTTGTACATAAAATTTCAGTCTGGAAGGATGGGCAGTGCCTGTTATGCTTTATTGAACTTTTGCTCAGGAACTACAAATTCTATGCCTACCTATGTGCTTGTGATGAAAGGCTGCAAAACAATCCTCCATCCTTCCCACTCCCTGGAGAGAGGGAATATAGTATTCTGCAGCCACCCACTCACTTTCTGCATGCCCAACTCTAACTCTTCTATTTGCGTATTTAATACCTTAAATTAATATGCCCCACTAATACAGATTCCCCAGTTTCAGTATCACACAGAAACACAGTTTAATATGGTTATTATAAAGACTTGACGTGCAAGGTGTATAATAATAATAATAATAATGTTGTGCTATCACCAACAAGCACAGCACCAGCAGTTAGGTCCTCAGCACTTTTCTATGCAGTGGACTGCTCCAGCGCTTACAAGAGACCTAATTTCTGAAATTTTTCAATCAGGAGTGTTTACCAAAGCTACAGCAGGCATGGGAAACATGAAAACAAGCCAATTATTTCAAACACAGTACAGAATTATCATATCAGACAATGTTACTAATACCACGAAACTGTTTACAGCAAGCAACATGATGAAACTAATACAGCCATGTGTGAAAACAAACCAGAATAAACAAGGCACTCATTACAACCAGATTTAAGGAACATCATGTACTTACATCTTAATCTTACCAGGTATCATAAACTACCTTACTTACATCTTACTCACAATATTACCTGCAACACACTGGCCCTACCTACAGCATAGTAAGGGTAACCTGTTACAGGGTGTCTCAACCTGAATGCCCAACAGCTGTAAAATAGCTCTAACCTTAATAGCTTGATAGAAAGCAAAGAGACATGCCAACCACAATTGCCTGCTGTCTTCTAACACTGCTGCTGCTGAATGAAAGGATAAGTTACAGCATGGACGGCAGTTAACAGTATTTGGGTATTTTTAAAGTATATAACTTACACAATACCATTATCAGTTCAATTTCTGGCTTACTTTTTCATAAGCAATACTAATTGCATGTAACACTACTCCCTAAATCAGAGCATTACTGCATTAAAAAACCCAACCCAACCAAAAAACCTCTAAATAACAACAAAAAACAACCACAAAAAATACTACATCCTTAAGCCAGTGCTGATACTGTATTTGGAAACACTGATATACCTGACTAGAGGCTGATCACTTTGCAAAGTAATCACCTAGGATAGTCTACGAAAATGCTAAAAATAGGCCGTGCATTAAAACAATACAATTGTTGAAATAAACTTGTTTTCAAAACCTTTTATTTTCAGTGGTGTATTGGTTTTGCATGGCCTGGTTTTGGTAGTGCGAGGCTACAGAGGTGGCTTCTATGAATCGATGGTAGAAGCTTCTTCCATGTCTGGCAGAGCCAATCCCTGTAGCTGGGATGTGCTGCTTTCTGGCCAATCAGAAATGGTGGTAACACCTCTGTGGTAACATATTTAAGTAGAAAGAAAAACACAAGTTGTTGCACATCAGTAGTCTCAGCCAGAGATGAGTGGAATGAGAACACCTGAGAAGAACAACTGTGCAAACACCAAGATCAGTGAAGGAGGGGCAGGAGGTGCTCCAGGCGTTGGAGCTGAGATTCCTCTGCAGCCTGTGGTGCAGATCATGGCGAAACAGCTATGCCCCTACAGCCATGGAGGTCCATGGGGATGCAGAGGTCCATCTGCAGCCCAGGGAGGAGGCCCACAACACAGCACGGGGATGCCTGAAGGGAGACTGTGACCCCATGGGAGACCTGAGGAAGAGAGGGGCTCTGCTCCCAGGCTGGAGCAGCCTTGTCCTTGAAAGACTGCACCCTATGGAAAAGTCACCCACCCTGCAACAGTTTGAGGAGTCCCATTGCCCATGGGATGGACTCATATTGCAGCACTTCTCTGGGACCTGCTGCTCCTGACATACACTCATGTTGGAGAAATTCACAGAGCTCTCTTCGGTGGCAGGGACCCCACAGTGCAGCAAGAGACTGCCTCCTCTCCCTGAGCAGGAGGAGCCTTGGGTAATGAACCCACTACAACCCTGGCGCCTGGCACCACTGGGGCAGGAGGCACAGAGGAGGTGGAGGTGTGTGAAGAGCGGGTGGGGGGAATGTGTTTTTAAGGTCTGTTTTTATTTCTCATTATCCTGCTCTGATTTTGTTAAAGATAAACTCCATACCTCTACTTCAAGTCTGTTTTGCTCATGACAGGTATTTGGGGAGTGACTTCTCCCCATCCTTATCTCAACCCATTAACCCCTCATTTTATTTTCTCTCCCCTGTCCAGCTGTGGAGGGGAGTGATAGAAAGGCTTTAGTGAGTACCTGGCATCTAGTCAAGACTCAGAGCAGGTCAACAAGTTACAAGAAAACAATCATGTGAGTTACAATGGAGTTACATCTACCATGCCTTTCTGCAGAAGTTAAGGTACAATTGTCTTAGCACCAGGTTTGCTCTGAAGGTGGATCTAGGTTGCAACTTCAACCCAAAATCCCAACAAAATCAAGAGAAACAAGCTTGTCAAACTTCATAGTTTAATTTTTTTCTCAACTTCTCCACTTTCTAGTCAGTTGTTTCAATTCCAAAAGCAGAAAAAGTATAATTTTATGCTACAAGACTGCAAAAAAAATTAGTTTACCAGACGTAATCCTTCTTTTAAACTTTCTGATTCATAAGGGAAGCATACAAAATGTCTTTTGCTAATGAACAGTGGCAGAAGAGAATGCGACTTCATACTGTTGAAGATACAGCTCATAATCTAATACCATCTGGTTATGAAATTGTCCCTAGCATCAGCCTGTGTTTACAGCTACGCTGTATTTCATTAACAACTCCATGACTGCATTATTTTAGAGAATCATACCTCAAAGAAAGTATTAACTTTTGTTGCTATTAGGTAATGCAAATTATTTACCATTGTTCCAGTTTGTCCTCAAGAGACCAACACACAATGGATGCTACTGAAAAAAGGGAAAATAAAAAATCCTGCCTAGTCCAGACACATCAAGAATTTTTAATAAAAAGTCTAGGCCAGTTTTTCTTACCTGCAAGACACAGAGTAATGCACCACTAAATATAGCCAACACTGTTAAATTAAGATGTTCAACAAACCCTAAGAATAGTATATAAGGACATTATCTTATGCTGTCTAGGATCTGTGCCAAACAATAATACTTAAAAGGGAACTTGGGCATCACAGCAGCTAAGGCTGCCTCATGAATTTACAGCTATGTTTCTCAGGAGGTAGATTTTTCAAGTTTTCAAGTTCTTTCCAGAGGCATTTTAAGTTCTCTGGTAGTATTTCCAGCCACCTCTACACAAGCTTGTGACAGCTTTTACTTTTCAACCTGTTATATCATTTACTACAATTCCTAAGTATCTTTGAGCTGCTTTGGATTTCCTCCCCCATTCTAATCAATAGTAAGCTGTGCGACCTATTATACAGCGGACCCACAGTACCAGAAAAACAGGTTACACATCAACAATAACAAAAGACTTTCTTTGCAGCTGGCAAAATGACAACTAAAGAAAAGTAAAATCACCTATTACTTCTGCATTATTACCATTTTATGTATTCCTATTTCCTTGACATATTCCTGTGGGATTTCGTAACACAGCACAATGGGTTAATGAAGACTGGTGCAAAGTTGAAATTACTTTTCAGTCACTTAGTGAAGCCTCTTCAGATGACATCAGGTACAGAAATTTAGTAATTGTAAAAATTACCTCTTAGTCCATACAAAACGAAAAAACACAATATATTGTATAACTGTACTTTAATTCATGTCACAGAACCTTGACTTAGCATGACTTATGAAGATGATAAAACTCTCTGTACAAACACTGAGCAAATTAACATCAAGTGTCAGACGAGTCTTTGGTCTGGCATAGACTATATCTTGGCAAATATATAACTAGATAAAAACCACTTTGATACAGTGCTTAGTAGCATCTGATGCCATTTTCATCTCAATGACTTCAAAAGTGAAGAAACAGATTTTGCCTTCAGCTTGAGTAAACAGATATCCTACTAAACATCAGTTTTTAGTTTTTAAAACTGTTTTAATTTACCAGCTCTAGTAAATTATTTAATTTACTAGAGCTGGTAAATTAAATAAAAGAGTCTGGATTTGTTAAAGAACAAAACAAGTGCGTTAAGATATCCATTTGAACAAACTGGTACGAATTTAGTTGTTCACTAGTTAGGTTAAGCAAGCTTCCCTCCCTCTCTGCCTCTCTCCAAGAAATAGTTTAGACATCAAAGTTTTACTACTCCAGCTACAACTATCCAGCATGAAATAAAACTGTTAAACAGACAATTCTCACAAAGCAATTAAAGCTGCAACTACCCTACATCCCTGGAACACTGCATTTATTATGTCTACAGATACTCAATTAGTTTAAGAACCCTAAGCAACTTCTGTTAATGTTTCTAAACCACCTATTCTCTCTTCCCCAACAGCCTCACTCCTCTGCAGAACGGAATTTATTAAGCACCCTTCTCCAAGTACAACAAGCCATTTTGACTGCTATGAGTCAGCTGGAATTGTTCTGCTAGACAACATACTGAATCCCAACAGTTTGACTTTAGAACAGAACACCTTGCCCTAAATATGATTTTAGAGTGCCTCACTTTTAAAAACAAACGTTAGTGATCTAAAAACACCCTCATAAGTGTCAAATCCTTTACTAACATTTAACATATATTTTAAAGCTGTTCTGGAACTAGTCCTTTTTCTTGATTCTGAGGAGACAGTACTCAAAAGTATCGTAAACACATCTCTTAAGACCATCTCTTACAACAGGAGGTGGCTACTCAGAAAGTAAAAAAACCCTGCACTCATGTTAAGACACTGGTTAAGACACAGTGTCACTCTGAGAACATACCTGGCTCAGTCTCTGTTTTCGGTGTTGATTCTTCCTCTCTTGAAATGCTCATTTCTGTCATTTGCTGTGTTACAGGCAAAGCGGCAACAGGCACGTTTCTGTTCAAGCACAGTGATACACATAATTTACATCAGTTTTACATTAATAATAAAAGCTTGAACTGTTCAGACCCATTAATGAACTACTGGTTCAGTCACTATTGATACATTTTCCTGAACTATGCTTCTACTATCTTCAAAATACACTTCTTTATTCTATTTTAGATTCCCTAGGAAAAAACAGGCAAGTCTGTAACAAATTAGCTCTGTAGATAAACAAAAACCATTCCTTTTACTACAGCACTACAACACCAAATATCTGAATGATTTTTCAATTTACATGGATTCATAGAGCCCTGTCAGGTCTGTTTTCTTCTGCAGACACTCACTGCAACAGAGCAGGACTGCTGCAGGCCTTCCGGCACACTCACAGCTCATTCAACTATCACAGTATAACCTTAATTTTACCTTGTTTTTTCAGATGTGCTGCCAGCAGCACCTTCACAGTTGTTTAAGCTAGTGTCTGCTCTCTGTACAGATGCAGAGTCTGAGGTAGGACTGTTTGAACCACTGGTTGTTCCTATGTAACAAGAATTTGACAAGTTATGAACATATTGCAGAAAACACATTAATCAAATAGTCTCCTATACAGCTATGAACTGTCTGCATACAATTTTCAATGTTACTGCTTATTACTGTTTACTTAAAGACACTTTTACTTAACAACCAAAATAGAGATTGCATAAGAAAATGCTAACAGAAGTGGCTAAGTGGGAAAGCAAGTTATGACTGAATGCCAAGCAAACCAGAACACATTACACAGAAATTATTTTTATCTTTACTGTGCTTCAAAGTAGCATTTTCTTTGAATATTTGTTCTTTCAGTTCAGCTTTCAGAAGTTCTCCAAGAAAACGTTCTAATATTCCTTGTAATCCTCTGTGGATTTAATTTCTAAAGAAATACAGAAACCCCCAACAATTCCCCACAACCTTACCCATTGGGCTGATTCTACCACTATTCTGCTGTCGCTGAAGATGTTCTTTGTAGCAAACTGAACACATCCCATTTGTCCTAGGATTTCCATAAAATCCACATCCTGTACTACACAGCATAGGCCCTGGGGTCTGGTTTGTCTCCTGAGTCATCTCGATGCTGTAAATAAAATAAAAAACTGCATTAGGAGCTGGTATGTCACCAAAATCAATTACAGGGTTAAAAGTATAAAAAAAATAAAAGAATTTTAAGTATGTCTGCTCACCCTGCCTCACCAAGTGATATCACCATTCTTAAAGAGGATTATATGAACATTAACATACCATTCAAGACCGCAATTTATTGCTAAGTAACATCATTACGAACCTTTAAGACAAGACAAATTATCATTGTACTAATACCAAGAAATAATATACTTGCTGAGCACTGAACTGCATGTGCAGGTTAATTTGAAAGCCAAAAAAACCTCCTTAGGTACAGCTTCTGAGCAGTAATAGGAATATGCAGAATAAATAAGACTAAGTTCATACCCACAAAACAGTTCTGGCAAATAACAGCTTATTTTTCTGGACTCCAACAGAGCCAAGAGACTCCAGCAGATAAGTCCTGCTTTTTCAGCGCTGATCTCGCATCATTTTGAGGCTAATTTCACAATTACTCTCACAACACTCTTCCAAGGGAGATAACAATAACAAACTATTGAGTATGTTCTGTTACACAGATACACATTTACAGAAGAAAAAAACCTGTTCTCTAATCAGGTTACCAAGACTTCTAAGCCTCCCAAAACCAGTCAGTGCTAAGCGTGTTAGAAATAATGTCTTCACCTTCACTGCCTGTTAACCTCTGAAAAGCAAGGTTAGTAGAAAGGGGTATAGCAGCCAAATCCTTAACTCCCAAGGGCAATAAAACTGGAACATAGTAATCATACATTTGCTACAAATTGAAGACATGCAATAATATTGCACTAAAATTTAAATTTAGTAGAAGCTGTGCATATGGCATCTGAAGACATTTTAGTATAAACTTTGGATTGCTGTTTTCGTATTCAGAAACTGTCACAGTAAGAGATATTTGACAGCTGAGACTTGCTAGAAGTCAAAAATGCCAAAAGTGAATTTGTTACAGTGTAAAGAAAAATGCTTCTAATTAAGAGACCTCACATGGCAAGTACTAAACTTATGTTTCTCTAGTACAACTGCAACTGACAGGTGCCTTTAGATAAACTAAACTTCTGGGATGACAGTAAGCAAAACCGGGAGAAAGTAAACAAGCAAAATTCATCCTGTCAGCCAGTGGTCACAGGACCTAACTTTCCAGGCATAAATAGCTGTACTATTTATAGCTTTATAACACCTTCCAGGTATAAATAGCATTCTTTCTGGCTACAACATGACTTCACACTTATTCTGATACAGTTTTACAGCCAAACACACCAGTTAAAGGAGCTAGAAAAAAGCCTGACTCACCTAGAGGAAATATAAAAAAATCTTGTCATCTTTGACAAGACACAGACCTATGTCTATATAACACAGAAAAAGACTACTTCTGCCTTTTAGTTACTAACCAGTTAAGACCAATACACTATCATACACATCGCCAACATCGCCTGCTTAATTTCCAAGTGCTCTAAAATTTCACCACTTACTAAATGTTGCTTTAGGTGCCAACTCTAATATTCCAGTAAAAACGAAAAACTCAGCACCTTCTTTGGTCTGCAGTCTTCCACTACCTGAAATGCATGCCCCTAACGAAACGATCGTTGCTACCTAACGCTGAACAAGTCGTGCTTTTCCAGGCTGCGGCAGACGGCCGGGGTTTCCACCCGCCTTCATTTCCAAGGGGCCTCCCGACCACGGGAACCCCGCTACGGCTGCCGCACCGCGACCGGCCCCTTACCGCAGCTCCGGGCCGCGGCACGGCCCGCTCGGCGCTGCCGCCGCGGTGGGTCCGTCACATGGGCGGACGAGCGCCGTGCTTCCGCCTGTCAGGCGGCGGCGTGACGGGCCCGGGCCGCCCGCTGAAGTCAGTCCCTATTTATATCTCCCGCAGGCCGCCGGCTCTGGCGGGAGGAGGCGCCGGCGAAATCCGACTGCCCTTCCCTTCCAGAGGGAAGCGGGGAGAACGGGTGCCGACCTGCAGCCCAGAAAATGCGGCATCACCAGCCCGCCGCCTCCCGCGATCGGCGCCCCAGGGAAACCATCCCCCAATGCACCCCGCAACCCGGGGCGGGTAGGGTTACACCCAACCGCTCCCCTTCGAGAGGAGGGAGAAAGATAATTGAAAAAGGTCTCCTTCCACCAGGACGCCCGTCGTCACCAGCCCAACTTGGAGGAACAGGAGGGTAAATCTCGTCAGCGGCCCAGGCCGCGCACCTCAGTCACCCCTTCGGCCCCAAGGCCATGGCCGGGCTGCCGCCGTCCCGCCGGGCGATCCCACACCGGCGGCGTAACGACAAAAACGAGGGTCCCAACGCGCGCTGAAACCAGCCCGGAAACCCGGGACTGCGTTAACAACGGCACTGACCTAAATACCGAATGGCCTCAACATCCTCCTTCCGAAGAGGGATCACGATAAACATGAGAAACACAGGAACAAAACAAAAGGAGGGTGCACAAAGGCTGCGCGGGTCACTCGCGCTCGGCAGAACCCTGTGTCGGTACGGGGGAACGGAACGGGCACAGGGCGCTCCCCAGGCGGGTGCAGTCCGGCGGCTGACTCAGACAAAGCGGGGGGCCCTGCCAAGCGCCGGCAGTGCTGCGCGTCTTAACTGCGTCTCGGACCCCCTCCGCCTCCTCCGACACCCGGACAAAAAAGACCCTCGAGACTGCCGGGCTGAGGAGCGGTGGCAGCGGACGGCGGTGTCCGGCCGAGCCGCTCCTCGCAACCGCCTGAGTCACGGTCGGCCCCGCCGCCGGCAGGCCCCACGCCGCCGCCAGACACAGGAACCTCATTGTCTCGCCGCCTGCGTTGCCCCGCAGCGGCCCCGCCGAAGGCCGAACGCAACGAGGCCGCCCAAGAGGAGGCCCGGGCACACCCCGCTGCGGTGAAGGCCCCGCGGAGCCGAGCCCAGCCGGCCACCCCTCACCCACCTGTTCCCGGCGGGGGCCACAAACCCCGCGGCGGGTGCCGGAGAAGGCGCCCCGGATAGCTCCGGGCGGCTGCGGGGAGAGCGGGGGTTGCGGCGGGCGCCGGGCTGGCGGCCGCGCCGCCGCCGCTTCGCTCCTTTGTTCCCGCAGCGGCAGCGGCGGCCGTGTCGGCAGCGGCGCGAGGCGGGACCCGCCGTGCGTGGAAGGCGGGCGGCGGGAAAGCGCTGGAGGCGGGAGGGTGGGGAGAGGGAAGAAGAAGACGGCGACGAGGAGGAGGAGGAGAAGAAGGAGGAAAAGGAGGAGGAGGGAGGAGGAGCCAGGAGCCAGGAGCCCAGAGCCCAGCCCGCCCTGCGGACGCGGCTCCTCCCTCTGCCCGCCCGCCGGTGCATGCGTGCTGCCGCCCCGCGCTCCGCCCGTTGCCGCTGTGGGGCGGGGCGGGCCCGGTGCCGCCCCGGCCGTTCTCCCCCGGAGTCACGTCACCGAGCACGGGAGCTCCCGGCCAGCGGGGCTCCTCGATGCCGGAGCGCCTGCTTACCGCTAGGTGTCCGAGGCACGGAGTGCCTCAGCGCCGACTCGCTGCGGCGCGTCGAGTCTTAGACTGCCTTTGGAATAGATTGCCTTTAAAATATAATTTTCTTGGGTATTTTCTTTCTTTTTGTTTGACCTAAATTTGCCTACAAGATCCAGGCGTCTTGTGAGATGGAAAGTAAAAATGCAGGAGCATTCCCCCGAAAGGGAAGAGAACGTCCAATTTAAATTGCCGATTGTAAATTTAATTGCCAGTTGTCTGGTAACATAGTTGTTTCATTGCTCTGAAGAGCAGAACTTCACTGAACAGAAAGAAGAAGGAAATAACTACACATTTTACTCAATACAATGATAATGAGCTAGTTCTACATGCCATTTTGGACAGAATCTTATCCTCTAAGAGGCTAGTACCTTCAAAAATACCATGAGATTCACAAAAAACTGCCTTGGAAACCTTTCCTAACTTGCGATGTTTGGAATGTCAGGGACTGATAAAAGGAGGACACTCCCAGGGTAACCCTACGATTTTATCACAAGGAGCAAAAGAATATGTGCATCCTTAGAAGCCACAGCTTCAAAAGACCATGGTGATTTTGGACCTCCTGTTGTTTGTTTAGCAGCAGAACAAGCCAGCTGCCTTCTGAGGAAATGGGTGGCTGGTTCGAGGGACACTCTTTTAAAGAAGTCTTCTCTATGAACATATTCATTGTAGAGCAGAAACATACTGCTTCCATCGTCTCAGAGCTGTTGTTTCTGGTTGCATGTTGTGAATTCTTCAAGAATGTGGGTACCAAGAACTTGGCAGATGAGGCCAGCAGGAAATAAGTGCTTTGGGAATCTGAGCAGGGTTCCAGAAACTCATTTGAAAGACAGTAAGCTCACCTCCTGATGAAGGCCATCTGCCCTATGAAGAGACGTGAGGTGTAGCATTCTGAAACATTTTGGTAGAGATACATTGGTTTTAGACATATATTGGGTGCAGTCCAACAGAGGACGGAATAATAATTTTCTCTAAAATACATTGGGCTACTTTATGGCATATAATTTTAGGCTTTCACCCATGAAGGACAGTAAAAGACTGCCAGTACTTTCTCCCTGGTACTTTCTTCTGTAATGCTGACATTTGAGTTTCTCACCTCCATTGTAGGGACTAAAAAAAATGTAGAGAATGAGTAGACTACAGGGTCTTCATGTTCTTTTTCTGTGTACTACGGAAAATATTGTGATCTCCTGTTCTGAGTACAACAAGATAATAGTTAATTATTATTGTAATTGTACACATTATAATATTAGAATTATTATTACTATAATTTAAGGCATGCTGAGTTGTGAATCTCTCTGACTGTGGTGAATAAGTGTCTCAATGAAGCCGGCTGTGTTGATTCTGGCCAGTGCTTCCTCTCCTTGTTGTGCCAATGACACACCAGTCTTGTCCAGACTCATTTTCATCTTCAGAGTTTACTGTGATCCCAAAAGTCGTGCCAGTTCATGGACTGTTCTGCATAGTATTTTCTTTGTATAGATCCTCACATTCTGCTCTCATATCTCTCAGTTTCAACTCTCAAGACCTCTTTTTAATATATGATACTTTAATGCTTTTTTCTTACTGTATTTTAAATAGTTTTTCATCAGTAGATTACCCAGTGCCTGGCTCAGCTACTAGTTTAATTTCCCTAATGACTGCATTACTTTAAAACCGAAATCAATGCACAGAATATAATCCATGGTTTGATAGTCTTTAATTGTGACTGGAAAACTATATCTGACCATAGGTATTAGAGATTTCTCCATCCAACTCTTTTCTGCAACATTGCAAGGAAGAAGCCCACGTGTTTGGATGTTTCTGTCTTCCAAAGCATTGCAGTTGTTTAAGGTACTTAGATTATCTAAATCAGTGGTGTCTAAAGTGGGCCCACATGAGATGATCTAATGGGGTGCAGGAAGGAAATCCTAGAACTTCAGTAATGTATGTATACAACTGATAAAGTAAGTGTATGTACACTAGGCGTGTGTGCTCAAAAATGTTTCACTAATAGGGATGCACAAAAAAAGTGAAGTTGTAGGAATCTTTTTATGTCACACAGAAATCTAAGTAATTGCTGTGCCCTGACAAATTTGTCAGTGGGAGACTACTGATCTAAATTATGCTAAGTTTGTTGCTGTTGTTGTTGTTGTTGTGGTGGTGGTGGTGATGGTGGTGGTAGTGGTTGTTTTTGGTTGTTTTTTTTTTTGGTTTTTTTTTTTTTTTTTTTTAATGCAATAAGAGGATAGATTATTTGCTTTGCTTGGCCATGTATCTTCCTCTCAATTATTTTCCTGAGAAAAATTGCTATAGTGTATATCTACTTCTCTTGACAATCCTGATTGATTTTTTCTTCTTTTTTTCCTTCCTACATTTAAATAGGAGTCAGATAGGGTCATTCAGACTGCAGGGAATTTCTGCCCAGTCTAGTACTTTATTTTATGTGTCTAACAATTAAAACATTGCCCTGATTTGCCTTGTTGGATTTCTCTGTGTTTTTGAGCATCTTCTAAGCAGAGACCAAATTGTACTTGTGTTGTGGTATGACCA